ACTTCAGGGAAGAGTTAAGGTGTAAGCTCTTTCATCAAATATATGTAAATGTTCAGGGTGAGTAAACCAGGAATAACCCTGGATGACCAGAGCTTATGGTTTAAGTTTCTCTCCTCAGAAGCAATTTATCCCAGAGATGGTTATTTAGATAATTTTAAAAAATTATATATGTGTATGCACATATATATTACATAGAAAAGCAATTTACTTTTGTCCCAATTCAATAAATTCATGAGTAAATAAATGAATTCAGTAGCTCCTGTGTGAAGGTTTTGCCTTTTTTCTTTGCTAAGAAAAATTATGATTTCAGGGCTGAAGAGAGTATAGGAGGTAAGGCATTTGCCTTGCATGTGACTGATGGTTGCAACCTTAGTTTGAATTCCTGGCAGCACATATGGTCCCCAGTGCAGTGCTGGGAGTCGTTCTTGGGCACTGCTGGGTGTGGCCCGAAATATTAAAGTTTGTCTTTGAAAACTCTTCATCTAGTGGGTAATAAGCATAAATCGCTTGTGGCCTTAATTATATTGACTTAAGATTAAAATTCTGCACCACCATTTTCCAATTATATAAATACTTAGTTACGTGGTTTTTTTTTATTAAGTATTGGTTTTTATTTATCTTATACAATGCGGAGAGTGATAATAATATCTGTCTTATGAGGCTATTATGAGGATGAATTAAAAGAAATAATGTATGTATAGCCTTTAGTCAATACACAGAGTGCTGGGCCATAGAAAAGTTTATTTAAAAATTTTTCTCCCTTTCCTATTTTTCTTTTCCTTTTTGGGTCACACCCAGTGATGCTCAGGGATTACTCCTGACTCTACACTCAGGAATTATTCCTGGCAGTGCTTGGGGGACCGTACGGGATGCCAGGGATTGAAACCGGGTTGGCCCTCACAAGACAAATGCCTTACCCGTTGTACTATCCCTTCTGGCCTCCTTTTCTTTCTTCTGTTGATGTTGTTGTGATTACTGGAAGTCGAACATATGTTTGGTTGTGGTGCTTCCGTATTTAATTGTGCTTTCCAGAGATCACATTCTTGGGTTTGGTGCTGCACATATATTTTCCGGAGTCACACCTTCCTCTTGTTTTTTTTTGGGGGGGGGGCACACTGGAAGTGCTCATGGTTTACTTCTGGCTGCACACTCAGAAACCACTCCTGGTAGTACTCAGGGACTATATGGGGTGCTGAGGATCAAACTTGGGTCAGCTGCATGCAAGGTAAATGCCCTATCTGCTGTGCTAATAACTCTAGCCCATCACATTCATTTAAAAGTTGTGGTGTTCATATACATTCTGGCTGCAATGCTCACCAGAGTTCTCTTACAAAGCATGTTCATTGCAGCAGGGGTTGGTGGATTGTGGTTCTCTTTTAATTTTTGTCAGTCACATGGCATTATTGTGGTGTTCATAGCATATATCTAGTTGTGATGGGAATCAAAATTCTTTTTTTTTTTTTGTGGGAGGGCCACACCCTGCACTTGGAAATCAGTCCTGGTGGGGCTCTGGGGACCATATAGAGTACAGGGGATCAAACCCAGCTCAATTGCATGCAATGTAAACACCTTACCTGCTGTTTTATGGCAGGCCTGGGGCTGGAAATTCTTATGGAACAGGGCATCACAGAGCCACCAGGCACCAAAAGTACAGCCACAACCACCCTTAGGGAATCTAAGACTCACTGACATCAAACTTTCAGCTTCCCGCTTACAAGACAGGTGCTTAAATCACCTGTTGTCTTCTGGCCCCCTATTATGTCTATTTTTATTTGTTTGTTCTTTGTTATTTGAATCATACCTGGCAATGCTCAGGGACCACCCCAGTTCAGTGCTTGGGGCTCACTCCTAATGGTGCTTAGAGGACCTTATAGTGCCCTGGATCAAACCCAGGTCTCCTGCATGCTAAGTATGTACTCTAGCCTGGTCAGCTATCTTTTTGGCCCCTTTGTCTAATTTTTAAATAGTGCACTTTATTTATTACATTTTATTCAGTTCTTTGGTAAAATTTACATAATGATAATTGCATTATTTAAATAAAATCAATATGCCTATATTAGATATAGGACCTCTCCCACTGAAAATATAGATCTCTCCAGCCAATCTCCTGACAGAGGCAACTAATTATGCTTTTTTTTTTTTTTTAACCAGGGACCAGTTTTGGCTTTTCTAGAATTTCAAGTGGACTCATATAGTACACTCTTTGGATTAGTTATTTCCAGTAGACAACATATTCATATGGTATAAAAGCGCATGTAGGTAGCCAAAAATATTCTTTCCACTCTGCCCCCCGTCACTCAATCTCCCTCCCTTGAAGCAACCAGTGTTATTAGTTTTATGTGGCTACCCTATAGCTATCGTTATTAATTTAGGGATTTATATAAAATACATTAGAACTCAATATCAGAGATTATCCAAGAAATCTGTGATAGCCCAGCTAAAATAACATAAGATTTAAAATAACTGGAGATCTTTTTAAGATTCTGATTACAGGGGAGCAATAGCACAATGGGTAGGGCATTTGCCGTGCCCACGGCCGACCTGGGTTCGGTTCCCAGAATCCCATATGGTTCCCTGAACACTGCCAGGAGTAATTCCTGAGTGAAATAGCCAGGAGTAGCCCCTGTGCATTGCGGGGCGTTACCCAAAAACCAACAAACAAAACAAAAACAAAAAAAAAGATTGATTCCGAAGGTCAAATCGTGGCATTTCACCTTTCTGTGAGTTTGGTAACCTTTAAGCCATTTCTAGTTTAAGTTGTATAATTCTTAGTCATACATTAAACAAATGTGGTTGTTCATACATTAAGCAACTGTGAGCCAAACAAAACTGAGCTCCTTTATGGAGGTAATAGTAGCCTAGCAGGGAAAGCAAAAAAATTCACCAAAAGAATCACACAATTTTGGAACACTGTATGACCGAAACCAGATCATGAACAGCTTTGTAACCGTGTATCTCACAGTGATTCAATTAAAAAAAAAAAAAGAATCACACAATTTATTGTCACGTAATAGGAAGAGACAAAACAGGGCAGTCAGAGGTGCTTCTAAGGGCTGGAGGTTAGAGCTGAGGTTCCAGAAACAGAGCAAAGTCCATCAAACTGCCGGGAGGATGAAGCTCTGAGGGGCTGGAGGAGGCCAATGGGATTGGAACAGAGATAGCAGGCTGGAATGTGGTCTGGGCAGTGGGGAGAGGTGGAGAAAAGGTCAAGGTGACTGACAAGCAGGGTTCAGATGAGGGGTTTCAGCTAAGAGAATAGGAAGCCATGGAAGTGGTTTAAGCTGGGAAATGATGGGTCCTTTGTTATGGAAGGGCTACAAGGGCCTGTGCGTAAAGCCCCTGAAAGACCCTCCCCTTTCCCAGGTAGCTTGAAATAGGGTGAAGGTGGAGTGGAGGAGTATAGATTTAAGGAAATTTAGGGAGATCTAAAAGCAGCAGAGGTGCTGGAGCCAAAGTACAGTGGGTAGGGCTTTGCACTCAACTGACCCGGGTTCGATTCCCAGCATCCCATATGGTTCCCAGAGCACTGTAATTCCTGAGTGCATGAGCCAGGAGTAACCCCTTTGCATCGCCGGGTATGACCCAAAAAGAAAAAAAAAACGTAAATAAAAGCAACAGAATTTGCTGATAGATGGACTATAGGAGAGAAAGCAAGAGTATCTCTGAGATTTCCTATGCAAGATGGACTCATTTGTGTGAACATGTACAATGAAATAGACTTTTAAATAATGTCATGGCCTCCAGCCATGCAATGTCAGCCTCAAGAAAGTTTCACGGGTTTCATAGTTGATGGCTGGTGGAAGGCAGTCTCTACTTCCTATTTCTGGAGTATTTCCTAATCTTGTTTATAAAAATGGGGTTTTTCTTTTCCTGAATTGCGTTTTATTATTTTAGCAGTAGGAAAAACAAAAAGTTCGAAGATTATAAATTTTGGAGATTATAAATGTAAGTTAGAAAATAACCAGGGCCAATCTAATTTCTAGGCAAATTATTTTGGAGTTTTTTTTGGGGGTATGGAGGCTGATTAATTCTCATCATTTTGTATAATGAGCATAGTTTATACTGCTTTTATATTTTGGGGGCCACAGCCATTGGTGCTGAGGGCTTACCCCTGGCTCTGTGTCCCATGATCACTCCTGGTCGGGCTCAGAGACCTTATGCTAGAAGAACCCAAGTTAGGCGTGCAAAGCCTTACCGTCTCTCTGGCTCTTGTTTTCAGTCTGGGGGCCACACCCAGCAGTGCTCAGGAGCTCTTCCCTGCTCAGTGGTGGTGAGTCGCTGCGGCTGGCTGTGCTTGGGGCACCATGCGATGGAGGCCTCCTGCATCCAAACCTTGCGTCCCAGGCCTGCTGAACTTACGCTCTGGCCCCAAATAGCATTTATTATTAAGTTTTGGACACTACCCCATCTCCCCTCCAACCACCCTCCAAATGAGACTACAACCGGAATTCGAATGCTGTTTTGTCCCCAACGAAGCACTTCCCTTCTAAGAATTTCTCCGTGGCTCTGGGACGGCTGCCCGCCTAGACCTCTCGTTATTTGTGCCCATGTTCTGACCCCTGCCGACTCCGCATAAATCCAGGGCGTGGAGAGGATAAGTCGGTCGAGCAACGATCTGCAGTCATACTGACCACGTACACATCGCTGCTAGGGTTCTGAGAGTGACCTAGGCCGCCGCTCGGGGGGGCTCGGGAGGGCCTCTGCAAGCCTGCGCTTGTGCATCGGGGCCGGGAGACAGCCCCACCAGCGCAGGGTCGTTTCGGGACCCGTTTGCAGGGCGCGGGGTGTCCTGTGCAGCTCGGCCACGCAAGGGGCGGTTCAAGAGGCCGCGGGGTGGGGAGGGTATTGAGGGGGGAGTCGGCAATTTGTAGGGCCGCGGGCCGGCGCCTGGAAAGGGAGGCGGGGAGAGAGCGCGGTTTCCCCGCCCTCGGCGCCGCACGGTCCAATCCCGCGGCTTTCCCGGGGCCGCGGCCGGCCAGTCCGGGCTCCCAACCTGCTCGAACCCATTATGCGCTGGGGACAGGCAGGGTCTCTTTAAGGCCTCGCTGCGCCTGCGCCTTGGGCTTTCCTGACGCGGCTGGAGCGGGGAGGAACCCGCGGGCTGTCCAGAGCGCTGGGCTCGGGTGCAAGTGGACACCGAGAGACAGAGAGAGACGCGGCGCCCCCCGCACAGGGGTGGGGGTGGCGGTGGCCCCAGGTCTCCCGAGCGCGCGCGGCGCGGAGCGGCACCGGAGGGCGGCGCGGAGGGTCGGCGGCGCGGCTGCCGGCTGCATGGGAAGTTCATGTTGACGGCCGAGTCCACCCGACGTTTCCAAGGTGAGGGGCGCCGCGCCAGGCCCGGTCTCCGCGGGGCTCACGGCCCGGGCCGAGGCGCGGACTGGAGCGGAGGCGGGGGGAGGTGGCCGCCGCCAAACTTCGGGCGCGAGCGGGGCGCGCGCTCCGGGTTTCCCCCGGGCCTGTTTTTCTGCGGCCGTGACGGCCTGGGACCCCCCGCGCGCACCTCCCGGGGAGGGAAACTGGCTCCCGGGGTTTGCCTTGGGGGGGTCCCGGGGAAGTGCGCGCTTTGTGGGGCGCCGCGGGGCAGCTTCTGGAATGCTTCCTAAGTCCCGCGGTGGTGGTGGGGATCCTGACCCTGCACCCCCACCCTGGAGGCCGGGAATCTCTTCCGCCTGGGGGTCCTGATGGGTGAGCCCGTCCGCGGCCCTGACGTGGAGACTTGGCACCTTGATTCTCCCCCCACCTCCGGGCGTTCCGCGCCACGCGTGTATCCGGGCAGGTGAGGGCGAGCCAGGTGCGCCGGTGACTCCTGAGGATGCACTCGGGAGTGTCTATGAACCATCCCCGGATCTCTTTATGACTAGCCAGCGGGGTGGGGGGCGGGGGGGGGGGGGGCAAGCCTCGCCTGAGCCGCAGTTTCCGGCCTGTGTGTGTGCGGTGGTGGCTTTGAGAGTTGGTGGCTGGCTGTGATTGTTTTCGCGACTTTGGGGGTTGGGGAGGGTCTCGATGGGCCTCCTTTTAAGCGAGAGGTAACCCACACTTTTGGAATGATTCCATAACCTCGCTTTGCTACTGTCCTTGCTGTTTAGGGCGGCAGCATTTTTCCCCTTCTTCATCAAAGATCTCTTTTTCTCTTAGGGTTACAGTGTAGAATAATACGCCTCTTTCTTGGTTGAAACAAGAAAATCTTGTGCTTTGTGAAGATCAGAAACCATTATCTGTTGGAAGTTTTTTCTTTTTTAACCTTGGTTCTAGGCGGACACATTAGCTGGTACCCTCCCCACCCCTTCGCTGTTTTTTAAACTGCAGTATACCAGGAGCTTAAAAAAATTATTCTAGAAAGCTGTCTTTAAGATCACTGAGATTTCCAAGAACATTGTGTCAAAGGAAATTGAGAAAATGTATTGCCGTATAATACAGAGACAGTACACAATCTTAAGTAGTAGGTGGGAGAACTGACTAAATGTTCCATCACAGATCAAACAACGGAACATTACGAGGTTAGGAATCCAGTTTTCTTTTTTTTAAAATATATTTATGTAAAAAATTTTTTATTAGTGAATCACTGTGAGGTACAGTTAGACTTTTTTTTTCTTTTTGGGTCACACCCAGCGATGCACATGGGTACTCCTGGTTCATGCACTCAGGAATTACTCCTTGCCGTGCTTAGGGGACCATATGGGATGCTGGGAATTGAACCCGGGTCGGGCCGCGTACAGGGCAAATGCCCTACCCGCTGTGCTATCACTCCAGCCCCCAGACTGTACAAACTACCGAGAGTATCTCGCCCGCTCGGCAAAGCCTGGCAAGCTACCCGTGACGTATTCGATATGCCAAACACAGTAACAACAAAGTCTCACAATGGAGACGTTACTGGGCCCGCTCGAGCAAATCTATGAACAACGGGAGGACAGTGACAGTGACATTATAAATGATTGAGGCCAGTATATGGTAATATAATAGATTGTGAGGAAGAAGGCCCTGGGATTATTTAATTTTTAATTTTGGTTTTGCTTTTGCCACACCCAGAGGTGCTCAGGAGTTACTCCTGGATCTGAGAGGAGGGGAATCACTCCTGGTGCACTTGGAGATGCTTGGGATCAAACCCAAGTTGGCCATGTGCAAGGCAAATGCCCTACCCACAGCACTGTCTCTCAGGTTACTGGGGATTATTTTATTGTTTATTTATTTATTTATTTTTGCATTTTGGGTCACACCCGGTGGTGCACAGTGGTTACTCTTGGCTCATGTGCTCAGGTGCTGGGGGACCATATGGGATGCTGGGGATTGAACCTGGGTCAGCAGCATGTAAGGCAGATGCCCTACCCACTGTGCTATCCAGCCCTTCCAGCCCCTCCTTGGGGATTATTTTAAAATAAATTTTAGTTATGATTTCATTAGTAAATCCTTTCTTCTGCTTTTTTTTTGGACCGCACCCATCAGTGCCTAGGGGCTATTCTTGGCTCTGTTCTCTGGGGTTGTTTCCAGCAGTGCTTTGGGCAGTGCTGGGCTTCCCACATGCATATACTTAGTGTATGCTCAGTCCTCAGTTTGAACTCTTGGTCTTTAATCTTTCAGGACTTCCTCTAGGGTCTGAAGAGATAATACAGTGGGTAGGGCACTTGCCTTGTACACAGTCGACCCAGGTTCAGGCATCACATATGGATGGTCCCACAGCTCTACCTTGAGCCCTGAGCACAGAGCCAGGAGTAAGCCCTGAGCATCACCCCCGCAATAAAAAGACCCTAAACAAACTGGATATAGTCTACATTGCACATTGACTGTTCCAGTTTTCCAACTAAATATTGCATTAATATACATATTCATGGGCTAGAATGATAGCATAGCAGGGTATGGCGTTTGTCTTGCACAAGGCTGACCTGGGTTCGACTCCTCCGCCACTCTCAGAGAGTATCAAGCTACCGACAGTATCTTGCCCGCATGGCAAAGCCTGGCAAGCTGCCCGTGACGTATTTGATATGCCCAAAAACAGTAACAACAAGACTCACAATTTGTTGTGAGACGTTACTGGTGCCCACTCGAGCAGATTGATGAACAACGGGAGGACAGTGCAGTGCAGTGCTACACATATGCATGTATGTATATGTGTGTGTGTGTGTGTGTGTGTGTGTGTGTGTGTGTGTATTCCCCCAGCCCCACCCCTACCCACAACGCATAGTATCTCCAGGTTAGGACCAATTAAAGACTTACAGAGGGCTTGGTATTTGGACACTCAATCACTTTTTGGCAGTTGGGTAGGTACAAAGGTGATTAACTTGCAGCCCCTACCTTTATGGAGCTTAGATGAGGGGCACCAGAAATTGAAGAAAAGAACTTTATCACTGTTGGAAGTGATTTGGTAGAAATTGTGTTGGCAAAGGGGGCACATAAATGAAACTCGGGTGTGGGGGAGGTAATAGTCCAGGCTCCCAGTGTTCCAAGAGTTGGGCAAGAAGTGGATTGTGGGTGGGAGCTGCTATTCACTATGTAATCTTCTCCCTGATCCACTGGCTTTTAACCTTGAGTCTCATTCCACTCTTCTGAGTTTCCATATCAGTGTTGATCGTCGATTTGCTCGAGCGGGCCCAGTAACGTCTCCATTGGAGACTTTGTTGTTACTGTGTCTGGCATATCGAATATTCTCTGTAGCTTGCCGGGCTCTCCGAGAGGGGCGGAGGAATCGAACTCGGGTCGGCCATGTTGGCCGCTTGTAAGGCGAACGCCCTACCACTGTGCTATCGCTCCAGCCCATATATCATATATCATATCAGTGTTAACAGAGAATAAATGTATAAGCTGAATACTTATTTCTTAATCTTTTTTCTTGCTTCATGGATGCCATATATTCTTTTATATGTCCGAAAATGTCAAAGATAGCAGATTTCTTTTCTTTTTTTCTCAAAATTTAATTTTATTAAAGCACTGTGATTTTCAAAGTTATTCATAGTTGGGTTTTGGATATACAGTATTCCATCACCAATTCCCACCACCCATGTCAACTTCCCTCAAGCGGTGTTCCCAAGTTCCCTGTCTTACCACCCCACCACTCCTTCTAAACTCCAAGCCTGCCATCTTGAAAGGCACTTTTTATTTAAAGTTTGATTATTAAAGTTGGGGTGTCATTTCAGTGTTGTTGACTCTGTGGTTTGACTATTTAGCTCTATCATTCCTTAACACCGTTAACTTACCTTGACCCTTGTACCTGTTGCTTCTTATCTGTTTCTTTTCCCCTGCTTCTCTGTCTTTCCTTCCCCTCCTATACTTTGGGGCCAAGGGTGATCTGGGCATCCCCTCTTTAAACCATTGCCTTTCCTCGCCCAGTTACTCTAAATACCACATATAAGTGATGTCATCCTGTGTTTATCCTACCTATTCATTTAACATGATGTGTTCAGTTCCGTCCATGCTAGAGCAAATTGCAGCTTTCTTTTTTTTTTTTGCTTAGCTTGTTTCCTCAAGTTACCTTTTCTTTTGTCTGGTATAGTCTCCGCTGCAGAGAGTCTCCTGAATTTGTGCACAGCAACTGTGTGTATATGTGTATGTGTATGTATATATATATATCAGTTTATTCATACATATACATATATGTATATAGATATATATTTAACACCTTTAGTGTTTAAGTTTTCCAGCTAATATTTACACGTTTTTGTCACTGTTTATTTTGGTAGTACTGTAGCACTGTCCTGTAGCACAGTCCTCCCATTGTTCATCTATTTGCTCAAGTGGGCAGCAGTAACGTCTCCATTGTGAGACTTGTTACTGTTTTTGGCATATCTAATATGCCACGGGGAGCTTGCCAGGCTCTGCCGTGCGAGCGGTATACTCTCGGTAGCTTGCTGGACTCTCTGAGAGGGACAGAGGAATCGAACCTGGGTCGGCCGCGTGCAAGGCTAATGCCCTATGCGCTTTAATAGAAACTTATCATATCTTCAGGTGGAGTCCCAGGAAGGTGGAGGAAGGGGCAGTTTTGGGGGCATCTTCCCAGATCAGGTGGGGGAGTATACTGATTCTTCTCTACATAGAGGGTTAATGGATTTCATTAATTTAACCAGCTATGTTATCTGTAAGCACAACAGTTGTGTTATTCAAGATTGAGCAGTGGAAGACTGGAAGCTGGTTAGAAGCCCTGAAGTCTGGGTAGGGGTGGGGGCGGGGGGGTCTGACCTCAGTTTTCCTGATAATGTGGTATAAAACAGTTGTTCTCCACCTCTGCTGGACATTAGAATTACCTGGAGGCACATAATGAAAGAAAAAGAGAGAAGAAAACACATCTGTGACTGCTGGACCCACTACAATAGAATCTTTTGGGCTGGATC